TCAATAGACCAGTTCAACCTAATGGGTATGATATCCCATATCAAATGATAAAATATTTTAATATTATATGTATAAATATAACTTATAATACTCTATGATTAAAATATAATAACAATATCTAATTTATAATTTTAATATTATATAAATATAGATAACTTATAACTTTATTTACATCAATGCACAAAATATAATACTAGTAATCTGTAAAATTAATTTAATTCATTGATTTCCACCTATTTAAGAAGTTTAAAAAATGTGGTAAAACATTAAATTAATGGGTGGACAACTATAATAATTTACCACCAACAAGACAACACCCATTAATTTCCCAAAATAATTATTTTATAGAATCCTAGTGTAGTCAAGTAGAATTATTGAGTAAAAATTAAGAAATAAGACTTATTTTAAAATAAATATAATATTTCCTCCTATTTTTATTATTTGTCGTTTTGAAAAGTAACACGTTAATTAAGAAAAAATTTTTCTTGTCAATATTAACCCTATTTAATGGATGTTTTCCAATGGAGATGAGATATGAAGAGACTATGTATTCTATAGGGAGTTAAAAATGGAAAAAAATAAACAAAATAGTCAAAACGACATTTATTTAATCAATGATCAATTAAGACCAGCTTCAATGCTGCTCCAGAATAGCGCAAAACGCTGGAGTAGCGTGAGAATTCTGCTCTAGTGCGGCGCTGGAACTTATCGCTAGAAGAGAGTCGGGAACAGTGTTGCGCCACATCTGGCGCAACACTGTTCATCGACTCTACAATTATTATTATTATTATTATTATTATTATTATTATTATTATTATTATTATTATTATTATTATTTCTGTGTATTATTATTGGTAAATTTTGTATAATGTGTATTAGTAAATGTATTTTTTATGCTAAATAATTTGTGTAATGTATTTTTTATGTTAAAAATTTTGTTCTTTTTACTTATTGATGTATTATAATTTTATTTTGTAATTTTTTAATATTAAAATTATACCAAATGAATAAAAATTTAACACACTCAAACAAGTTTATTTCATTAAAATTAAAGTTTACAACACACATAAATCATAGAACATAAATAAAAACAACATGATTAAAAATGACTTAAACACAAATAAAAACAACATGATAAAAGATGACATAATAATCAAAGGAACACACTAATAATTCTAGTAGTCTCCCAAACCACTCCCAGACCCGCCAAGATCTTGAAAAAACTCACTGAAAGAACCAAAAGTGTTGCTGGCTTGTGATGACTGCGATCCTTCTCTTTTTCTCAGTATTCGTTCTTGCTCATTTTTAAAATATTCACGACGATGACTATCTTGTATGGACTCCAAATCCATCATTAAAATTTTATTTTCCTCTGTCCATGTGGTAGTCTCAACAAGTTGTTTTCTTAATTCATTTCTTTGCTTTTGAATTTTAATTTTTTCTCTTATCATCTCACTGTCGTGATCTCTCTTCATTGCTGATGTAATATCCCGATATTTTATCGGTATAAATTATGTTTTTAATTCCGATATAATAACGTTATCGATTATTATTTTCGGAATTAATTATGTTCAGTCGGGATTACCGAAATTTATTTTCGACGTACCGTTGACGTTCGAAATAATTTTGGTAATCAAGCATTATGTTTAATTGAATAATTAAACATATTCTAGTGATTAGTTAAGCAATTAATTCGCACATTATGTTCTAAACCAAGACTTAGGCAAATTCTTTTTCAAATTGAGCAATATGGCCGAGAGTTTCCTTCATCATTTGGAAACCAAGTCTTCCTCACTTATTAGCATAAAAACATGGCAAGAATTGGGGGATATTAGTCATCACTAAGTACCCCAAATGAGTACCACTTGGACGGCAAAGAGGAGGCCACACCACTCACACGTCATCCCAAAATCTCCCTCACGGCCCTATATATAAGTTTGTGATGAGTAAATTTTCCCCCACTTTTCCTAAGGTATATGCAGCATATTATCCCTCCCCTATACGATCAGCAGAAAATAACTCCATTTAATCCCTCATCTCCTCATACTATTGCACGGCAAATCGAACGGCAAGTCGCACACGCACGGAGTAAGAAGAACTTGAGCAATTGGGGTGTTTCGATCGAGAAATCGAAGAGGTAACTCCTTCCTCAGCTTATATTCATGTTGATAAGGTCATGTTAAGGTTAAATGTTCGAGCTATGTACGAGAATTTCTAGTAAAGCCGTGCTTAAGTCCGAATATACTTAAGTAAGATCATGATTAAATAACTTTCGATTTTTTCGGCAACTCTCGAACTATTAATGTTTAAATGTTCAATTTAGCTTATTTCACGTCCAGTAAGTCCAGGTTAGTCGAGGCAAAGTGAGGTTTTGTCGATGAAATGGCCCAAGCCGTCGCTAGCGCCTATCGCGCGTGGCCTCGGGCAGCCTCGGGCCGTGTCTT